GGAAGGGAAGGGAAGGGAAGGGAAGGGAAGGGAAGGGGGTGAAGCTGTCGCCCGCATCCAGGACACGGAGCTCCAGATGGACCGCGGGACTGGGCACTGCTCCTTTCCTTAATCTAGCCCCACTTAGAGCCCCTGGCTAGAGGGCTGAGATCAGCTCCGTGCTCGGCTTCCGCTCATGAAAAGGTAGGGATGAAGAGGAGAAAAACCATAAACAAAAAGAGGTAGAGGGGCAAGAGTGGAAGACTTGTGACCTCTGGGACACAAGGATAGGTCTGTCTAGCTCGAGGACCTGCCTTCACGGGTGACGAAAAGCAGATGCCTGGGGAAGAGCATGGGAACCAAGTTCGCAGCACCTCCCCCCTGCTCCATCAGCTTCCAAACACCTGCAGCTCAGAGCTCTGGGGAGATGCATCCCCTCCTGCTCAGTCAGAATGAACCTCTCTTCCAGAACTTCATCTCCTCCTCTGAAGCCAGTTTACACCTTTCGCACCCCCAGCACCCCATGACAAGGAGCAGCGCAGCCCTGGAGCCTGCAGCACCAAGAACCGCACTGGTTTCTTCTGAACATGGTTCTTACAGAATTCACGTAATGGTGCAGCTCTTGTGCTTGATGAGTGCAGTTGCTGTCACCCCCTCCGTGCCGTCTCCCTATCCTGACCCCTCCTAGGCATCCCCTTTCCACATGGAAGAACTCAGCCAGGCTCCTGGTTGTTGGATCTTCCTGGCATGGCAGGTGGGCCAGAGCTTTGCTCCCTGTACTGCCCTTCACAGAGTTTCTTCCAGCTCTCCTTCGGGGGATTAAGGGAGTTGTGGTCCAAGTGCTGGTTGATCGAAGGCTTTACAGCAGCTGCCTTTCCTTCTCCCTAGTTTCTCCTTAGATTTTTCTGGCCATGTTGGAGTGTTAAAGCTGATGTTTCTGTGCATGCTCACCCCCAGCAGTAAGCTCTGAGCCTGCCCTTCAGCACTCAGCAGTCCCGCATGCACAGCCCCAGATGGGACTATGTCTGCACCCTCCATCTACCTCTTCCCTTGGAGGAGACCTCGGGAGCCTCCTGCACAGCTCAGGAAGGAGCAGGAAAGGAGAGCAGGGAAGCAGATGTGGCCCTTGTTCACCTCTCGAGTCCATCGCTAAATGGCAGCTCTCCTTTGGGCTCTGCTCCCGGGATGAGGGGGTATCTCCATCCTCCTCTTTGGTGCTCCTTGTTGGCGCCGCTTCTGGCCCGTGGCTTCAGGTCCAGCCCTGTGCATGGGTCAGGGCCGCCCAAGGGGTAGCAGGTCCCCACTCCAACCCCACGGCCCTACAGCCGCCGTGGGACCAGCTCTGGAGCTTGGGGCCCTCACGGTCCTTTGAGCCCTTAGAAACCCAGGAATCCTTTGCATTTCCAGCCAGAGCAGCTCCTCTGAATCGCGCTCATAGGATTTGCCTCCAACCTGAACATTTCTTTTTTTCATTGCGATTATGTTGGTGAAACCCTCCCCAGGCACGAGCTATTCCAGGTGCTCATTCATTTTAAATAACCTTTCCAAGCAACCACATCTGACCGGCCTGTGATTCCCTGCCTCTCTGGCAGAGCCTTTCCAAAAACACAACCGGGGCGGGCCGCAAGCATGGAAAAATATTGCAGCTTGGCCTGTTTGCTCGGCAGAGCCGTGCGCAACTCGCAGCAGATGGTGGGAGCAGGAGGGAGGAGGAAACCTGCAGCTCCGGCGTTGCCATGGAGCCACATGGAGCCGCTCGGAGCGCCAGATCTGCAGCGCTCACGGCTGAGCTGCCTCCGAAGGGGAAACACTGGGATCTTCATTCTGCCCCTCAGTCTTGCAGCCCTCAAGTGCAGGGCTCCTAGGAGCCCAGCTGAGGGCTGAGTTCACAGCAGGAGCCCCTGCTGTGGTGCAAGGGCCCCTTTCCAGGTGGGAATTTTGCTCAAGGAGGGAAGACCTTGCAGGAAAAGCACCTATCGTCTCCAGGGAAGGAGCTGCATGTTCTGGCACACTCCCGTTTTCAGTGATGAACGGCCTACGGAATCTTCTAGCACGGCTGCTGCTGTGAAAAAGAGATGTTTACATTGACAGCAACGTGATGGGGCTGATATAATCCTGCTTTTGAGAGTGTCAAAGAACCTTTAAGCAGGGACCCAGGTGTAACTGAAGCCCTGAGTACAGTGGGTTGAACCCTGGAGTCTGATCCATGCCCAGCAGCCGCTCGGGCTTGGGGACACATTTATCCCTGCGCGGCCTCCCCCGGCTCCATCTCGTTTCCCAAGTGCAGACCTGGCGGCAGCGCGTTCCTCCTGCACCTGCGGCCACATCTGCTCAGAGGAAGCAGCACAAGCTCTGCTCCCTTCCCTGCTCCGGGCGGGAAGATGGGCTCCAAGCTCCACCACAGAAGCTCTCGGGACCAATCCAGCCTTCCAGGCTCAGCCCAGGGCACCCCTCACACCCACGCTCATCAGCGGACACAGAACCAGAACACCATCACTGACACGTAGAAAGCTACAGTCTCCCAAGGCTTTTAATTTATGGAGTATTTTACAGGGTAAAATGTATTTTATTTCTCTCCACTTGGAAGCTACCTTGAAGTAACAAAGCAAATGCTCTCAGCCTTCCCTGCTATCCTGATCGGGTAAAAATAACCTATCACAGTTGCAACAGTTGGACAGGGGCCTGTGTTTCTGCAGTAAGGCTCAGAAAAGCCTGCGCTGTCACCTGCTTCACGGTGTCTCTGGGAAGGGTCTGCCCGCTGAAGGAGGCCAGCTCTGCCTCTGCACGCACACAAGCCGCTTCTTGGAGATGTTTTTCAAACCACCCTGTTCTGCTGGCCTCGGAAGGCAAATCCACTTTGCTTCCCGTCTGCTAGGGCAGTTATTCTCTTCCATTCCTTACCAGGACACTCCTCAAATCAGACGAGGAGGCTGCAGTTTGGAGCAGGTGGCAGCACTCACAATTTCAGCTCAATTCCCCCGTGCACAAAGGCCATCCCTACAGCACCGGGCTGTTTCCTGGCTCGGTCTCTGGCCTCGGCTCCCCTGGCTCCTTAAGCCCCTGCTGATATTGCTGACTACACAGAGCAGATTAATGCCTCGGGTCATCTCTTGCCCCCAAGCCGTGCTCCAAGTGAAGGAACTGCCACCCGCATGTCACATCACCCGAATCTGCGCTCTGGGGACAGAAGAGACCCGCTGTTCATTGAAAAACCATCTCAGGAATGGCCATGAATTACAAATTCTGAATTACTAATTCTGAATTAGTACTGTCGTTCATGAATTACTAGTTCTTTGCATGAAGGTAAGCGGGAATTCTTCAGCGTCAGGACTCGCAATAAGCAGCTTGCTCGGAAGAGGGAAGAGGCGTCTGATGCTCCCCAGCAACCCACTCTGCTCCGGAGCTCCCCTTCCCCATTCACTCAAGGTTATCTGCGGGCCCCAGCTAATCCCACACTTGCTGCCTAGTAGCCTTTTCCTTACGTATTACAGAGCAAATGCATCCAACAGTCCATTTGTTAGAGGCAAGCCAGAAGAAAACCCTGGAAAGAAGACAGCAGATTTGCTTGTTCAGGAATAAGCCTTCTCTGACAGGGCTTCTTTCTGCTGTAACTTCCGAATCAATTCCAGTAAGTTCATCTGTAAAGTCAGCTCCTGTAAAGGAAGAAAGACATTTTTGCAGGAACAAGATGATCCCATTCTCTTCTGCAGAAATAAATGGGTTTGTACCTCCCACTCAGGAGCCAGTAATCTCAAGAAAAGGCTTAATCTAGTTTAAGCATTTCTACAAAACGCAGGACAATATTATCTTAGGAAATCTGCTGCACATGCAGAGTCCAGGGGCTTCAGGAACCATTAATGATTCAAAAAAGTTATTTCTTCCTGGTAGTTATTTAAGGCTAAATGGTTATCAAGACAGTCAATTTTGCAGGTTTTCTTGTTTTCTCGTTAACATCAACTTACTGTTTCTTTATGCTGTCTTTACCTTTCTGTTCTTTATTCACATTTCAATTAAAAGCCACTTAGGACAGACCACATTTTGCCCTGCATAGGTGGGAGCACCTAATTCAGCAGACCTTGTCCTGTGACTCAGGCTTGCAGACATGACCGTATGGAAATAGCATCTATTTTTGTAAAAATAGAAAGACTGCATAACTGGGCATCTCATATAAACTGTGGAAAATACATAGGGTGATGGGAAATGTATGGAAAACAGCTGGGTCTAGCCATAATTTCTTGTATTGTGGCAGCATTCACAGGCACAAGCCAAAGATTGAGTCCTATTTTCTACCTATCATAAAAGCAAATAAATAGCAAATAGGAACCTTGTTAGTTATTACTTGGAAAATAACACAAAAAGAAAAGAAGACAGAAAAGCTGCTTTCCTTATACAGATGGGGAAGAGCAGCAGAGCAAAAGGGACTTGTTCAAGGCTAAGCAACCAGGAATTGCTCTGGTTTTAGAAAGTGACCACTGAACCAACTCGGTTTAAGCCACCTTTCCTTCTCTGGTAGGAAAGTCTTTATCAAAATGGAATCTAATCAGTTAAAAAAGCAACAACAGTTAAGAATAGTCTGTTTCTGCATTGTGCTAACTTCTGCAGCAGTATGAGGAGATTCTCAAAGTTTATTTTTCCATTTGTGTGATGGTCTTAGAAAACAAAACAAAATCCAGGACACTTGCTCTCAAGTGTTATGAATAGAGGCACTGAAGAAGCCAAGAGCCATTCTCTAATCACAAGCCAATACAGTCATCTCCAATGAGAAATATTAATGAGATGGCTTGCAAAATAATAATAATAATAATAAAGGTGATGAGGAGGAAGACTGATCATTCTTTCTGAGACAGCTGTTCAAAGTTCACTACGAAATGAGATTTTTTTTTTTAAATAGATATGTTAGCTGCAACGCCTGCTGCCCTTGCACACACCTGGGGATTTGTGGTGATGTAGAACCCAGACACCCCAGCCTTTTCCAGGGTGCTCTGTTGGTCTATCACTTTTTGGTCCAGTTCCAGGACTATCTTCTCATCCATCATTCGCTGCTCCTCCCGAATTCGCTGCTCCACAGCCTGAAAAGAATGGAACACTCAAGATGGAAATGTTTTGTGTTTTTTTTTTCTTTTTTTTTTCAAGAAAAAAAAAGGTGGAATACCCTCCTGCCTACTTTTGTTTTCCTCATGTCAACGCCCTTTCCTGAAGGCCAGAAGCCAAGTCCTGAGGTGCTCAACAGCCTGGTCCCTGGGTGCTCACCACAAGAAATGGAGGCAGGAGCACGACAGAGGTCAGGGACAGCAGAGCTGCAAGTCACTTAGCCTCAGGCACGCTGTGTTACCACAAAGTCCAATCCAGTTTAAATACAGGGAGAAGAAGGCTCCTTCCCATGTAGGAATTAAACAGCACCTGTCACTTGCACAACGTTGCCCCTTCAAAACACGAGAGGTGTTTAGGTGGAAAGGGAGAATCATGAAGTATGGGATTTCCTACACCGACGGCTGTTGGTTTAGGAGACCTGGAGAGCTGCCTGTGAGGGAAAGCGGGAAGCCTGGACACAGTTTGGAGGCCTGTGGAAGAGCCGGAGTGCGACTGATCCAGGCCTAAAGGGCCTGGGAAAAGGCTGAGGCTTCCCTGCCACATCACAGCAGCAGAGGCTGTCTCAGAAGAGGCCCAGCCTAAGCAAAGACAAATTAGCATTCACAGGCAGAACGAGGTCTGCCAATAACCTGTCCTAACATCAGTGTCTTCCATTTCTCATTATTTCCACAGATTTCGGAAAGCTAATTAAGCTTCACAGAACGTACTTAGGATAGAGTGTATGTGCTCTTCCTGCACGCCAGGAACGCACTTATGGAGTAGGGCACTATGAGAAAGGCACTGTGAGGTACCAAAATGACAAGGGGCATCCAGCTCTGTGCTGTGAACGCTCATCCGCTGCGGCCTCTCCACAGCAAGGGCTCCTGCTAGAATAAACATGCAGTAATCCCAGACAGTTTAAACCTCAATTAAGCGTAAGGCGGAGGGGCTAATTGTCTTGTGTTTATTACGGGACGCGACACAACGAGAACAGTGACACACAGCTAATGATTTGCCTCAAAGGCCAGAAGCAGTGAAATCCGCTGGCAAGTGCCTCTCGTAAACACCCAACCACCTTGGCGTGAGATTTCTTTTAGTGCCTGTTTTTTATTAGTGAAATTCTGCAGACGCCTGGGTTTGTGGCTGTAGCCTAGGTACAGTCGCCTGCATGTTGACAGGAACAAGCAGGTACAACCTTGTCACTCATGCCTAAGGCTCAACAACACTTAGCACTTTGCAGCATGCATTAATTGTATCAAGGTGTGCAGAAATCCCCCATGTGCCTCTAAAATGTCTCCTCATTAGAGGCAACTCAGCCTCTCTTGCCTGCTTCCTATTCTAATAAACATTTAAACTGCCATGTAATTTGGAAGTTTCAATAGGAAATGCGGAGAAGGCAGCAGGAGGAGGAAGTTTTGCAGTGCAGGGACAACCAAACAGCAGGATGGGTCACCCAGAGGCTGTGCAGCCTCCACCCTCGGGGATTTTAAAGGCTCACGTGGACAGGCAAGCTGGTCTGGGCTCACAGCTGATTGCTTTGGACCACAGACCTCCTAAGGTCCCTTCTGACACAAATTAACCTGTGAACCTAGCAAAGCCCCTTCCTTAAACATTTTCCCATCTGGAGGCTCAGGCTCTGTCTATGGAAAGAAAAGGAACAATTCAAACTCTTTTACTCCCAAATTTCCCAAAGACTTTTCTACCTCCTGCCCAACTTGGAGGACAATGAGGTGCCAAACCACCTCCTCCTCCGCTTGCTGTGCTGGGAGAGAGACTTTCCTGCCCTTCACTTAAAGGGTTTAAGTGTCTAAATATAGCTCAGGATAGACCTGTGATTCTGAGTTACGGGAAAATACCCAAATCTCAAGTTTTTACTTCACCTTAAGGGACTGGCAACCCACTACATGGGGCCAAGCGTTTTGGGTACTGCAGATTCCACTAGGAAGTTGTACATCTAAAAAAATCCATGCTGTTGGCATGTATATGTGTCCAACTATACGTATGTGTATATATATATATAGACATGTATCCCACTCTGCGAGTCTAATCCCACGCTGCCTTGGGATAAGTGGCCTTCAAAACCCTTAACCACAGAGAGCAGCTCTGATTAGACAAGTAATGGGTGCTACAAAGACAGCTAATCTGCTCCCTAAATGCTATAAAACAGAAATATTAGATTTTTTAAAACTGAAAAAGCAGTAAACGCAGTAATGCCCAGCAGAGAACTACAAAATATATAAAAATATATTTAATATATAAAAGATACAGTTATATATATTTTAAAAATATAATTTATATATATAAGATATATATATACACACAGAAGAAAAAGTATTGGGAAGGTAAAAGGAAGCAGGTAAAAAGTTATATATGAAAGGAAGGAGAAATAGATGTATATAGAACACATGAGGTGTTTATAGTATGTACTTGTCATTTCCTTATTATAAAGTCTATTTAATGAGTGAAAACACTGGAGACGGGCTCCCAGAAACCGGAGCCGCGCTGAAGCGCTTTGGGTTATCTCATGGCAGAGCCGAGCAGGCCGCGGCCGCGCGCCCCGTTACCTCCGTTACCTCCATCTCGCGCTGCTGGGCGGCGCGCAGCAGCGACAGGTTGTGCGGCCGGCAGCACTGCTGGGCCTCCTTGTGCCGGTGGAAGAGCTCCTGCTTGAGGCCTGCGAGGCGGGGGTCAGCCGGGGCCTCAGCCCTTCCTGGGGGCCTGAAGCCACCCCCGGGGCCTCAACCCTCCCCGCTAGGGCCTCAACGCCCCCCTTCCAACCCTGCCCCCCAGC